GGAAAGTGGCTGTGGTAGATATTCTAGACCTGAAAAACCTAGAAGTGGCAAGGTTGATGCCCCTGGAAAATATTTGAAACATAGATGAGACAGCTGAAAATCATAGCCAGGGAAATACCTGAGACGCGTATCCACCTCAGTCTCTTTGAGAAAAACCACTGCAGGTGGCAGCACGTCCTGAAGGAGACGATGTGGGTGTGTGGCACAGTGATCAGCCATCTTGGTTAGCCCAGGGGCCTCCTTTGAACTCTGAAAGTTCCACATTCCAGGAAACCTTCCAGTTCTAGGCAAATCGGAGCAACTGGTTACTCCAGTTGTACTGTGTATCAATACATCTCAATACATTTCCACTCAGACAGCTTTTGAAAGGGTCACCTCAGGTGGCTTAGAATATTTTGTGTGAAGTATAATGATCTGAGAAAGTCAAGTTGGCTCTGAGTCCAAGAAAAATCTGGATGGAAATAGAATACAAGACAAAAAGCTGCCCCTGGGAAAAATCTCAGGAAGCTCCTGGATGAATGTCCTTAGCGAAGCAGTTCTCTTCTGAACTTGGGGGAAGAAAACAGTATACCAGCATGGCTTTTGTTCAGGAGGCTCAGCTCTGCTGCAGCAGCCTGAAAGGCAGGCTTCCCAGCCAGATCACACCACTGACCCAGACCGAGCTTGTTGATACATTAACAACGTTACCTTCTTCAAGTCAAATAGTGATAAGACAGATCGGCCCATCTTGGATCAGATGTATGTGAGCACACACACAAACACAGGCACACGTGGACCTCTGCACTTTGCCTGCGGCATTTCAGTGTGTTGGTTTTGGCTTGTGCTCCATCTGCTGTGAGTTGGATTTGGAAAGGACTTTGTCCTGTACACGCTCCGGCATCTCCAGGTTAGAGTCCAAAGTGCTCAGCTAGGCACTCAGGATCCAGCCAAAAAAGTTGCATTTCAAACCCTAACTTTCACAATCCCCATCATACAGTGCTTCAGTCCTGCCATCTGCTCCTTTGACCACACGTAGGCTTGATCCATCCAGCTCTGCCTGTCGACACCGCCCTCTCCACCTCCTGTGCACTTGGCCAAATTCTAAATCCAAGACTCAGATCAGATTCCCAGGTCTGCAAGGCTTCTCTGTGTCCTCTGAAATCTTCCCAAACTCTGGCAGCAGACTGTACCTATATGATTTAATCAACAATCAGTTCCATGCCGTTTTAGAAAACTCTTTGGTAACTATCTCAATTTTATATACTTATGTTTATTCAATTTTGAGTCATTTTGTGATTTGTCCCCAAACATGGTCTGTAAAGGTCTCTGAGGTCAAAGATGACCCTTGAGTACATAACCTAAATAACTGGTACTCAATAAGCAGATGTTGATTCATGAAGGGTCTCTAAAAAGTTCATGGAGAATGCATATTGTGAAAAAAATATATATGCATGGATTTCAAAAATACTTGCACCAAAATAAATTCATTCTCTTTTAAATTTTTAAATTTCTTTTAGAAAGAGATTTTTTCCTATAGGGTGTGTGCACTTGCCAGAAAGACAGAGAAACAGAAAGCAAGAACTCACCGCTCACACACCCTGCCCCCTGGGGGGGAGGATGGCCACGCCACAATCCCTTCTTCTCCATTCTCCTCTTGGGATTTTGGGCACACATGCACATGTGCCTGGTATGAGTTTTATGCCACCAGGGTCAGAATTCAAACCTCAGTCAACTACATGGGAGTCCAGCAATATAACCATTACATCATCTGCTGATTCCAATAAATTCATTCTTTAATTCCACTTTTTCACAAACTTTTTTTTTTTTTGAGGTTTTGCTATAGGGCACATGTGCTTGCCACAAAGACAGAGAGAGACAGAGAGACAGAAAGTGAGAAATTACCCCCCAGGGAGGATGGCCACACTACAATCCCTTCTCCTCCATTCTCCTCTTGGGATCTTGGGCATGCACACACATGAGCCCAGTGTGAGTTTAAGCCACCAGGTCCAGGATTTGAACCATGGCTGACTACATGGGAATCCAGTGACATAGCCATTATGCCAATTGCTGGTCCCTTTCACAAACTTTTTAAAGTACCATTGTGTTAGTGTGAGCTTTAGGAACAAGAGAAAATCTAATACAAGTGCTTTAAGAATATGATGCCATGAATAGTACCCTATTACTCTTCCTCAGTACAACATTGAGAGAAAATTACCTCCCAAAATAAATATCGATTTATTTGCCCTGAGAACAGGAACTTAAGAAAATTCATCTGAGCTTGTTCACAAATTATCCTCAAGTAGACAAGCCACTCATATAGCCTTGAGTCACAGGCCAACATCTTATTCTATCTGCCACAGCTGGTTCTGAGGGAGGAAAAGACCAGGAACCAAAACAGTGGTTTTTTGGTATTTGAAAATGAAATACCTTTGGAATCTGCCTATGAATCTAGGCACTTGGGGCTTTAGGATGCAGCTTTTTAGAAACTTGAGAGGTGATAAAAATGGTAAATGTGGGTCTAGGGAGAGGAGGATATAGATGGAAAAATGGTCTTAGGAAGCAAGAATTTCTAAGCATTTTTTAACTGTTTATTTAATTCCATTTGTTGTTGTTGTTATTATTATGATTAATTTGACCATACAGAGAGAGAGAGAGAAAGGAAAGTGAGAAAGCAAGCCACCAGGTCTGGGACTCGAACAGAGGTCAGTCATGTGGGAATCCAGTGCCTTTAACCACCACACCACCTGCCAGTCCCCCTAAGCATGATTTTAAGCATCTCACGTCACTCCCCCAAAATTAGAGAACATGTATAGCAAAAGGTCTCTTGGTGGCTGCCTGTCCCCATGCTGTCAACAATAGTGTGTGCTTTTGGTCATTTCAAATCCACTTAACCCTAGCCAATAAGCAACAAGTCTAATACACTAAGAAGCCTGTTCCCACAATGGAATGAGGTCAAGGAATACCTGTTTCTCTAAGTATCTGGGAATCAATAGTATCCTAATGGTTAGTATCCTAATGGTATCCTAATGGTAAATAGCAGCATTGAAGGGCAGATTGCCCCTCTGTCTCATGAGCTGTTTTCCCAATCTTTCTGTCTGGGTCTCTGACAGTGTCTACTATCCCTCCGTTGTTCTATGGTCCTGAAGCTGGGTTCTGACTCCTCCCAGCAAATCCATCTACATATTGACACTCCCCTTCATCCAGCTTCTGTCTGGTCCTCATCCTTAGGGCCTGAACTTTTCTCCCAGTTTTCTTCATCACTTCTCAGCAGATCCTCTTGACTTATGACCGCAAACCACAAAACATCCAGAACCATTCATTCACTCAACAAATATTTACAGAGCACTCACTGAATGCCAGGCACCAGCAGCACAGGAATAAACAAATCGCACACAATTACTGTCCAGAGGAAGGTTACTGTCTCACAGGACACGGACATTCAACACATAAATAAATTATTACCAAATAAATTATTAATTTTGCAACCAGAGTAATCTCATGTCTTTAGCCACCCAAGAGTCACTCTTTACTACCTAAGTAGCAATAATTCTGAGAATTCTAGGGTTAGATACTAATTCATCTAGTTGCTGCTGTCCCCAACACTTTTGGCTTTCTTGTAACCATTTCATGTTGTACCCATCTTCCCAATCTATTTCAGCCCCCCAAAAGAAAGCATAAACACTTGTTCTTTCCTCCGTTATCCAAAGAACAAAATATATAGTTGTCACATTTTTTTAATTTTTACTTGAAAATTTGAAGATGAACAGGGAAATTACAACCTAAAAATAAATATTAGTGGGTCTAGGTGGTGATGCAGCGATAACAAATAGATCCATTTGGGGAAGGTTCTGGGTTTGTGTCCTGGGATCTCCCTAAGCTTGCTGGGTACATGTATGCCTATGATCTGGGCCAGTCGAGACTAGGGGACCCTGTGTAGGGGTAACTGTCTCTCTTTCTCTCTCCTTTTCAGAAAAAAAAATTGCATGAATGAACTAAATTACTAGATAAAGTAAGCAAGCATTAGTTGGGCAGCCTCCAGCATACATGCCACATCATAGCACAACCCTAATGCCATCTCCCAACTTAATTCAGAACTTTTTCTGGGAACCAGACCCTTCCTCCTTGGATAGAAGTCTTCTGCTCTTGTGAATCCTCTTCTCCCAACCCACACCGTGAAGCCAATCTCTTACAGAGTGACAACCCCCAGTGGCCTCTCTGCCTTGGGATGAAGCTACTCACGGCTAGTCACCATGCACCAGTCTGTATTCATTTATTCATTATATGAAAATATTTATTGACACTTTGTACCAGGCATTGTGCTAGGTGAGGAGGAGATAGCAACAAACAAGGCAGACAAGACACCGCATTCATGAAGGAGATGAACAATAAATAAGTCATCTAAAAATGAAATGAGACAACTATAGATTTCAATGCTCTCTATAAAATATATATATAAAAAGGATGATAATATGAGAGATGAGGCTCTCAGGAAGGTAAGAGGGCCACTTTTGAAAGGAAAGACAATGGAAGCATCTCTGAGGAGATGACACTTAAAATAAACCTGAAAGTTTTAGGGTTGGATTTTTCAAGGCAAATTAATCTTTGTTTTTCCTTTAAAAATTAATTTTTAACAGCATACTAAATGAATGTTCCCATCATGAATACACAGCATATTGGCTCAAAGATATTACCATATGTATTATCAACAGATAATTTTCCATTTTTGTATCTCTTACATATTTTGCTTTCTTTTTCCCCTTGATTGCCTCCCTCTTATCCTCCCCCATTTCCCATCCTCCTCCATAACTGTCTCTAGTATCCACAGTTGCTCCCCATGCCTTTATACCTTCCCACCTTAAAGGGCACCAGACAATGCAGTGGGGAAAAGAAAATCTCTTTAGCAAATGGTTATCAAAAAACTGGGCATCCACCGGCAGAATGATGAAACTGGACCCCTTACCTCTCACCACTAACAAAAATCAGCTTAAGGAACCAGCAGTTAGCGTAATGGCTATGTCGCTGGACTCCCATGTAGTCAACCACGGTTTGAGTCCCAGACCCAGTGTGTTAAACTCATGCCGGGTGCATGTGCGTGCATGCCCGCCCAAGATCCGGAGAGGAGAATGGATTGCGGCATGGCCATGCTCCCCTGGGGAATGATTTCTCGCTTTCTGTCTGTCTGTCTCTGTCTTTCTGGTGAGCACACATGCCCTGTAGCAAAAACCTCACAAGAAAAAAAAAATTAGCTTAAAATGGGATCAAAGATCTAAATCTGAAACCTCAAACTATAAAACTACTGGTGGAAGGGCCAGCAGGTAGCATAGAGGTTAAGGGCACTGGACTCCCATAGGACTAACCGTGTATCGAGTCCCAGACCTGGCAGCTTGCTTTCTCACTTTCTCTCCCTCCCCAATTAAATAAAATAATTCTTTAAAATAAAAACTACTGGTGGAAAACACAGGGTAAACTCTTGGAGACATCAGAGTAGGCAAAGACTTCTTAAGTAAGACCCTAAAGGCTGATTAATTTTTAATATTTCAAAAGAGCCATGTAAGTAGATACTTTGAGTAAAGTTTGAATGCTGTAGGTCACTCCCTACACATATTTTTATATTGAATATTATTTTTATTTTGACTTACATGGGCATGGTAGGGAACCTTCAATTTTCTCAGGCGTTCAACCTCTAAGATCATACTCAAGCCCCGAAGGATACCAGGAAATAGTGTTCCAGGCAGAGGAAGCACAGAGTTCCCATGGCAGGATAGCAGGAAAGAGCCTGGCTTCTTCTAGTGATAGGAAGAGGAGGTGGGAATGGTATAAGCAAGGTAGGGCACTGAAGCTAAGGTGGCAAGGGGCAGGAATGGAAGTGATTCTCAACCCTACTTAGGTATGAAAATTCATTGAACTTTTTAAAATTTTCAGATACCTGGAACCAGCACATGGCATAATGGCTACGTCACTGGACTCCTACATAGTCGACCATGGTTCAAGTCCCAGACCCCATGGCCTAAAACTCACACAGAGCATGTGTGCATTCGTGTCTAAAATCCCAAGAGGAGAATGAAGGAGAAGGGACTGTGGTGAGGCCATACCCCCAGAGAAGGTGATTTTTCGCTTTCTGTCTCTCTGTCTCACTCTCTCTCTCTGGTGAGCACACACGCCCTGTAGCAAAAGTCTCTCCCCCTCCCAA